CATATGCGTCACTGGGCTGGGGAGCGGGGCTGACAAGGCTTTGCTAACATCAGCTAGGAGATTCCTTTTGTCTGCTTGTGTTTTCTTTTTTTTTTTTTTTTTTGGTTTTTCTCTGGTACCAGGAACTGAACTCACGACCTTGCGCTTGCCAGGCAGGCGCTTTTGCCGCTGAGCTAAATCCCCAGCCCCTGCATACTGAGTCTTAAAAATCCATATGTAATATATATTCACAGCAGATCTTAATTTGCCTACCCACAGTTGTAAAGCTCTGTGTTTCTGTATTGTACGGACAGTCCAGGTCTACAAATGTGGCATGTAGTAGGTGTTTTGATATTAAAATGAAATGTATTCCATGTAGTCAATTGCTTCAAATTCAGCTTACCCATTTTCATATGTTTAAGTATGCAGAAATTTTAGTCAAAGGAATTGAAGTCTTTTTAAATACCAGAATACCATCATCAATAAGGTGTTTTATCACAGCTCAGATGTTGAATGGGGACTGGTGTAATAAAGTTTAGTCAAATGTCTTAGCTTATGACATGACAGTCTGAAGTTGTGATGTTTATTTTTACCTTAGAGAAAACACACTTGATAACCTTTACCATAATCACTGTATTTTAACAGCACCTGCCAAGATGCAAAATGGTCCTGCACCAATGCATTATGTCCTGGAAGATGTAAGGTGGAAGGAAGTTTATTTACCACCTTTGATGATAATAAATACAACCATCCTGGAAACTGTTACTTCTTGGCCATCCATGTACGTAATACTTTAGCACACTTGAAAAATGTGATATATACACTAAACTGTTTCTTAAGCAGATCTCTGCACTGAATTAGGTTTAAAGAAATAAAAAACAGCTCCCCAACTGAATATGTTTTATTTCACATATTGACATTGATATCATTACTTGTCAATATTGAATCAGTAATAACTGTGCTCCTTGAAAATTTCTTGCACAGAAAAGTCTAATAAGTAAAACCCTTTTCCTTTATTAATAATCCTCTAAGTACATTAGAAAGTTATTTCAATTTTCTACTTTGCTTTGCATGTGTTACCAGTTCTTCAAATAAAATAATCTTTTACATTTGATGAGGCATCTTCCTCTCCCATCAGTATTTCTTAATATTGAGCTGAGTTTTAGCCTTTACAGTAGAGCAGTGCAAGTATGATACAGGCTAACTTACATTACATTCTTTTCACTACTAAAGTTGTTAAACTAATCTGAATTCCAGTAAAAGGATGAGTCCCCTTGGTAGCTTGTGTCTTTCGCTGATGTGAGAATAAACAATTGCATTTAACCTTTGGGGTAAGAAATAAGATAAACTGAATTTGTGAATCCTGAAGTGAGAGAAGTGGATTAATACCTGGAAGTTTGCAAAATGTAGTTGCTGCCACTGAAAGTCTGTTTTCTCTTTTTATTTTAAGGATAAAAGAACCAAAACATATTAACAAACACAGAGACATAAACAAAACAACATAAAAACAATACAAGCAATACGTATTTCCAGATAAGTTGATAGGAAATTATTAATGTTCATTGTATTTCATACTGTTCAAATTGGTTACTCAGATAAGCAAATATAGGCATGTAAGACTGATCAAACAATTAAACATTAACTGTTCCTTTCAATAAACCTATAAAAATTAGTAGAATAATTATCTTAGCTATTTTGTGTATATATTTTTCCTACTCTTTCTTTGCTCTTTTCCCTCATTCCAGTCATGAAGGTCTGTTTTCGAAAATAAAGCTTCCTTACTACCTGCCAACATAATTTATTTTCCCTTTTTAATGCTCTCCTTTTAATCCATGAGGGTTATACCGAAGCATATGGAATATGTGCTTCTTGTAAATTAGAGGTTCCTAGACTTATGGTAATCAGAGTTTGACATGGCTTGCATGACTGACTGTTTTGTAAGTTATATTCCTTTCACATCGGATTTACAAACAGTGGGGACTCTCCAGGGAATAACAGCTATGTGATCACTAATTCCTAGCTAGTACTGCAGGACATCCCAATTTCCTTTGAGAAGAAGATAAAGAGGAAAGATAAAAGAAAGATATGATTATTAATTGTGCACTCCATAGACATAGCTGCACAAGATATTCAGACCATCTGTAAAGCTCTCGGCTGCTCTGAGATGACACTGTGAACTGACAAGCTTCTATTTTCAGAGCAGACTGTGCAGGAACTGTGCATGACTGAAATTCAAACCTGCATTCTGAATGAGCCACACAGCAACATGTACTAAATAATATTTTAAGAAACATTTCCTGAAAATATGTTCTGTTTTCACAGAATGAAGATTGGTCTATTAGTGTTGAGCTTCGTCCATGTCCAAATGGTCAGACAGGAACCTGCTTAAACAGTGTTACGCTTCTCTTAAATTCAGTAAGTAATTAGCATCCTAAAGTTTGGTCAGAGTAAAATCAAATCCGTTATTTCACAAGCTGGAAATTTTCAAGTTCAAAAAGACTTTCTATGTAAATTAAGAGCTTAAATAAGTTTGCATAGAAAATCAATTAAGTTTCTGGATGACCTGGATAGTGGGATTTTTTTGTTTGTTTTTTTCTGAGACACTGTCTTATTTTATAGTTCAGGCTGGCCTTGAACTCACTATGGAGCCAGGGGTGGCCTCGAACTCATGGCAATCCTTCTGCCTCAGTTTCTTGAGCACTGGGATTACAGGCATGAACCTCCATCAGCTCCTGGATAGTGGGATTTTGAAATGTATCAAAATTGCTTGTGCACACAACTATGTGCTAACTATAGGTCAACCTTAGCTATTCATTTTGGTCACTGAACTTTTGCATTCTGTGGGCTGCTTGGAGAGAAGGTGATGGCATGTGTTTCAAACTTTGTGTGTATGGAACCAACATTCTAAATGGAAATAGATCTAAAAGGGAAAGGAGGACAAGTAGCCCTGACCTCAGCTCTTACAAACTGGTTGATCTTTGGAAATCGAAGCTACTTCCTTGGGTTTTAGTTCCCTAGTGTACAAAGAGAGGATAAAGGTTCCTATATAATTTGCTACATGGAGCTGGTATAAGAAATAGCAAATCAAAATGTAACAGAAGTTTTAAAAGTATTCTACATTTTAGATATTTATCAATTAATCCTATAAAATTAAATGTTTTTGCAGCACAAAATTCAGGTTCATGCATTATATTAAAATGAATGTTGCAAATTAATATGAACTAACAAAAGTGTTTTAAATTATAGTCTGTTTCAGCTGCCAAATATGTTTTCAATAGAGATGGGACAGTCACAAAGGATATGGTTAGAATTAAAGATTATTACTATTCAGGTAAGTTTAATAAGATTTTAAAGTAAATGTAAGATGCATTCATTCATTCAGTACTTAGTTATTAAATATTTCTGCTTTTACCAGATAAAGTATTATAAATTTTTAATGAACCTACTTAGCATCTTATAATTAATTTTAATAATTATTTTAACAGATGAAATACAGATCTTCAAAGTATCTACCTCATACATTCAGGTGGAAACATACAACCACATAAAAATGCAAATACAGACAGTCCCTGTAATGCAATTATATATTTCCATGCCACCCAACCAATTCACAGACACTGTTGGTAAGTTCTCTCAATATTTCTGTTTTTATTTCCAGGGCTCTACTATGACCATCATTTATTTAATTTCTGTTTGTGATATTGAATGAATGACCCCAGTGATAATTAATGATACTAAAAGAAGTCATATTGATTTAATCTTCCCATTAACATTGTAATAACGTAGTTCCATCTTCTTTTTATAATAAAGACACCCATTTATTACAAAATCTTTCCTTAAAAAGATCTTCAACAGGGGCTGGGGATTTAGCTCAGCGGCAAAGCGCTTGCCTGGCAAGCGCAAGGTCATGAGTTCGGTTCCCGGTCCGGAGAAAAACCAAAAAAAAAAAAAAAAAAAGATCTTCAACATTTTAAACATTTAATTTGGAGCTTTCATTTCAATGAAATTTAATAATACATCCTATGTGTTACTTCGGTAGTTGTATACGTCAATAAGACTTCGACCTGTAGTTCAGTAAATGAAAAATTATACATTTTTTGAAAATCTTATTTCAAATACAGCAGCATTTTTACTTGTCTTTCTGATAGATCACGTCTTTTTTTCCGTTGAGGTTTTCTATCGTACATAGAGCCAGAGGTGTTGAGCAAGGCAGAACAATCATGGCATGTCCCACTAAGAACTCTTAATTTATAAATGGTACAAGTTTTTGTGATATCCCTCTTTACTTGAGAAATTGTTTACACATTATTTAATTATTTACACATAGGAAAAAATGTAAGTCAATGGGCCAGAGGTTCCAAGCAAGAAAGGCACATTACCTTTCATGGGATTCTTCTCCCTTCACTAAAATTGTGAAAAGGCAGTCATAAGCTTTCTACCTGTAAGCACGCTTCCTGATACCTTGTCAAAGTAGACGGAGTTACAGTGACAAACAGGAAAGACATCATATTCATATAAATATGGTTTATTTGAATTTGAATGAGAGAATCCAGATGAAACTTGGTGTCATGAAATCTTACTTGTGTATGTATATATGTACATATATACTTAATATGTATGTATATATAGCGATATGTATGTAAATATACATATGTATGTCACTAGCCAGATATGTTCTCAGGTAGCTTCTACAGGTATTAATTTGAACAAAGAACTGAAGTGCGGATATAAACCCAAAGTTGAGGGGGGGAAAGATGTTAAACTTTGTTCTGCGCTATTATTATATTGCAGGACTCTGTGGTTCCTACAACAATAAAGCAGAGGATGATTTCATGTCGAGTCAGAATATATTGGAGAAGACGTCGCAAGCATTTGCTAATTCTTGGGAAATGATGCCCTGTCCTAAAGGAACCCCGGCTTCATGTCTCAGTATTGAAAAGGGTAATGTTTATTGAACCTCAAACTCTGTAATGAATTGCTTGGTGCTAGGCGTTATATACTTGTTCAGGTATAACACGAGCATATAGATAGTTCTGGCTTTAGTTAGTCTTCGTTATACCGTTGCAATTTTAGAGCAACAGCAGAAAAGCAGCCTAGCTGGTTGATCATGCTTCTGGGAAATTCATTGTTCACTGAAGCTTTATCTCTGTTGTCTTTTTCGGTTCCTGCTCTTTTTTGCCTTATATAGTTTTCTCCATAGTTACACAATATAGAAAAGAGAAGATAATCATTTAGGTTATTAATTCTTAAAATTAATTAGTAATTACAATAACTTAATAATTACAATAAATTAATATATTTACGATTATTGAGAGATCATTTAGTTTATTAATTTTCCTTCTTTTAATGTAATGGTGAAAATAACCATGGGTTAAAACAGCCAGATTCACCCAAACTGCTGGGGCCACGGTGTCCCCCCAACTTCTCTCACATTTATTAGCAATATCAAGCCCAAACATAGATCTTATTAAAACTTTATACTTGCATGGACCAACCTATGTTTAGCTGACCAGAAGACTTTCACAAATATTAATTCAGTGTATCCCCATAAAGCTTGGGAAAGACATGGTTGAAGTTATTTCCCCATTGATATAGATACTGGGTTGAGTGGGTAAGATGCTGCTGCGGTCTATGTACTCTAAATCTAATGCGTCCCCAGTATTGTTGATTTTCCTGAATGCTGCATATTGCTTCTTCAGAAATAAGGAAGACTTAGTTAAAATATGTATATTACATTGATATGTTCATTGTTTCTAAAACAAGCCACATATTTAAAAGTCTGATCATCTTATATCATTTTTAAATGACTAAAGCAACTTCTCTTGAAAATTTACTAATTTTGATTTGAAAAATGATTTGGTAAGAGCATTAATGCAAATGTAATACATATTTCAGGGTTTTAACTGTCATGGTACTTTATTTTTGTGGTGTGTAATGAAAGCAATCATGATGACAACAGACAAAGAGTACATGCCTCAGAAGAAAGCCAGCCACTTACGTCCAGTGGACGACATGTCACTGTTTTGCAGATACATATATATCTGCTTACCAATTTGTCTATATTTTAATGTCTTTTTGATATTTCCAACTTCTTTTATTGCTAAAAATTATTAATCAAAACATTTGCTGCTCAAATGGTATTTTTTGAACTTTATTCTTAGCTAATTTAGTAGTAGGCTTATTTATAAATCAACAAATGTCAATTACACACTACTAAAGAAATAAAATTGAGGTGTTTCAATTACTGGTCCTGGTCCTTCTGATCTGCGACCATCAGAATAAACTGATACAACATTCTAGGGTGACAGGGATGTGGGTAGGGCTTATTAACTAATTTATCATAATTTAGTCATATATATATATATACACACACACACACATATATATATATGTTAAAAGGTGCTCTAAAGATAAAATCTGACTCTCTTATTCCCATTTTTACATAAAAACTACATTTTAAGAGAGGTTAAATGAACAACTAGAAAATCCAAAGCTAATAAAGATTTTGCCTTTTAGTGTAAGACATTTCTAATCATGCTATTGTCATGTATAGGGACAACAAATTTGCTTTATTATAGTAAGACACTGGAAAAACAATCATTTTAATAAAGACAAAGCTGCTAAAATTCATATATTTTCTTACATTTAAAAATGTTCTAATGTTGCTCATACTAACTTGGAGAACATTAATTGTCTTCTAGAAAAGTTTGCCGAAAAGAACTGCGGAATTCTTCTTGACTCAAGTGGACCATTTGCTTCCTGTCACCAAATTGTGAACCCTAAATTTTATCACGAGGTATGCAAGGGGCTACTATTAGCAGTTCTTTTTGTGAAGTACTTTGCTAATATCAGCAAATCCATGTAGATCTTAAACTTTTTCAAATAATAGCTAAATATAAATATAAACAATGCTAAATTTCATTGATTTATTTAAATGTTAGCTATATTAACTTAAAAACCCTAAATGAGAAAAAGCCTAGTCTTTCTTCCTGTCTTTTCTCTGCGATTTGATAAATGGATTAATAATCTATTTGCTATTTTGAATTTTAAAATAAAATTCCTAATGTTTCAGAGTCAGATTTTCATCCGAGTAGAGAGGCGATTGTGGACTAAAGTGCTATACCCACTTTGCCTGTTACTCTGAATAATTCTATGAAGCAATATAAATGTCTTTTTTATTTTAAAGGAATGCAAGAAATATACTTGTTCTTGTGAAAACAGTCAAGATTGCCTGTGTACAGTTTTAGGCAACTATGTGAAGGCGTGTGCCGAGAAGGAAACTTACATAGTGGGCTGGAGAACCGGAGGATGTGGTGAGCGGGAAAGTGTGTGTGTGTGTGTGTGTGTGTGTGTGTGGGTGGTTTAGGAACAGGTACTTACACATTTATACCTGTTTCTTCCAAAACTGGTTTTCTATTTTTTTAAAATACCATTGAATAGTCCTTGGATTTTGACTTCTTGATCAATTTATCTTCATTTGAAATATTTACATGTAAACATGAGCAGAATTTATATTCATGTATGTTTATGTTCAATTTTATGCTGAAACAGAAAGGTTCTGACTGCTAAGGCATTTTAAAAATGATATCCTAATATTAATAACTTACTTTGAAAACTATGTGAATTAGGGGCTCAATTATCTTATTTATGAAATTCTGACAAGATATTTTTTACTCATTGATAATGACTTCATACAAAAATATTTCATCTAACAAAAAAAGACAAGAAACACCGTATAAACACACTTCTTGTAAATCATGCTTAACACTTCATAGCCTGTATCCAGTTAGTAAATCAGATCTGTCATGATACCTACAAAATCTTTTCACATCTCTACATCTCAGTTGCTTCCAGCTTAGTTAAAAAAAACTATCATTTTTCTTCTTGGATGATTGCAATGGCCTCCTTCAGTACCTGTATCCTTGTCTCTATCTAGTTCATAGTCTATGGAGAGAGGAACCAAGGTAATCATTAGAATAAAACCACATGAACCTAATTTACCCATGTCACGCTCATCTGAAACACATCAATGGCTTCTCATAGCTCTGAGACTAGAGACCTACTCACTGGGAGGACCCTGCTGGTTCTAACCACTGACTCTGGCCTTATCGCCTGTGCCCTTCTGTGTGCTTTTGGATATAATTACCCGCCTCTCTGACTCAGGCTATGCCCAAGGCATAGGGTCACCTTCTTGAGGCTACCCTCCTGCTGTTCACTGCCCACTCTGCGTCTTGCTTGTGGGCCTCTGGCTGTACACACTTCCTGCTGCAGCATCCTGCTGCTTCTTTGTCCTCCCAAGAGGAACCCAAAGGGGGCTGGGGATTTAGCTCAGCAGCGCAGTGCCTGCCTGGCAAGCACAAGGTCGTGAGTTTGATTCCCAGTACCGGAAAAACATCAAAAAAAAAAAAAAAAACCAAAGCATGTGGGAGCCGTGCATTGCCATCCTGTTGGTGGGCTTCATGACCAGCGGATTCTTTAAACATATAGGCTGAAAAAAAAAAAGTAAACAAAAAACCAATCAGTGAGCACCTTTCTCTCAAGTATAAATAATTTTCTATACTATCAATAAATGTTAAGGTGAAGCGAAATTGTTCATTTTTCTGGGTGTCTACATAGTCATTAGTGTTTTCTCTGCACCTACAGAACAATCTTGCCCAACTGGCCTAGTTTTCAAGTACAATGTCAAAGCTTGCAACAGTTCTTGCCGATCCCTGTCAGAGAGAGACAGAAGCTGTGATGTACAAGATGTCCCAGTTGATGGATGCACTTGTCCTGCTGGAATGTACCAGAATAATGAAGGAAATTGTGTACAGAAATCTCAGTGTGACTGCTACATCAACGATGAGGTTGTGCAACCTGGAAAACTCATCCAAATTGATGACAACAAATGGTATGGAGATGACATGGGTACTTGTTAGGAGAATGAAATCAAGAGCCTGCATCCTCTTTAGTTACTAGTATGAAGTCTTCCTTAGACCTGTCGTATTTTTATTTTTGGTTCCTTATTAAGTTGAATAATTGCCTCTTTTTTGTGGAGGGCTCACTGCATCATCATGATGGTACATAATTCATCCTACTCTGTCGGTTTTGAATGCCACTAGAAAAAATATTCTGCCTGCTCACAATGCAAAACAGTTTTATATTCAGACAGTGCTTTCTAGCTGTTTTGCATCTGGCATCATTCAGAAATCATCGAAGTGCCTACTGTGTGCTATGCTCTGTGCTGAGCACTGGAGTTAGAAAAACAAGTGAACACTGTCTTGTACTTACAAAGTAAGCAGTGTGTTTAAGAGAAGTTTGTACACTATGACATGGTAGCAGAAGAGCCAAGTCACTCCCTAAGATTAAGGGTGCCTCCCCTGAGGACACTGGCATTTAAATTATTCTAAGGGCTGAATTTTTTCCCAGACCAAACTGAAGCAGAGAATAATTTCCTGTAGTGTACACTGAGTGTACTCAGATGGGAAAATGCTTGGAAAAGTATTGCACATATGGGTTGTTGCAAAGTATTAGACTAAAGACATAGCAGCCAGGCTGCACTCAATAATTTAAATCCAATTCCTAAAGAGTTAAGAATTTTGACTATTTTGCAATGGCAGAGGAGACTATGATTTCTGAAGTTCACAGCCAAGTCATTTAGCTGTATTTCTAGTTCCACAGATGGCCAAGTCATTCTTGTCAGTGCTACTGCAAGACTGAAGTAGCCATTCTGAAAACTCTTGGATCTGCCTTCTTCTTTTCTTTAGGTTCCTGAAGCTGTCATTTAGGAATAGCTGGTTTTGCTTGGCCATTCAGAAGGAAAGAAAACACAGTTACCCTTTTCCATTGAAGTCCACACACATATGGTTGGGGTTTAATGACTACACTTTCTTTCTCTGTGCACTTGTTGAGGGATCAAAAGATTAACTCTTTAGTAAAACTTAGATTAGTACCCGAAAGTGTGGTTTCTTTCATTGCTATCTCATTTCAGACCCCACCACCTCGTGCTGGCACTATGAGGTAACTGCCTTGCCTTTTTCCCTCTCTCCTTTTGTCCCTGTCCCATGTTTCCTGCAGAGCACTCTTCTCATCATGCCACTGCTTGCTCAGAGCCTCCAATGACTGATGTGCGCCTGAAGAATAGAAATGGAAATAGTTGAGATCACTTAGGTCCCCTAAGTCTGGCTACAATCTGCTTTTACCGCTCACCCCCGTTGTGTACCTTTTATTTTATCCAAACATGATTCACCGGAGTCATCAGAACCTATCTTACTCCTTCTCTTATCCGAGTTTTGCATCTTCTCAGCAGGATCTGTTAAATGTTCTCCACTGAGACACAGCCATCATTCCCCTGAAGCCTTGTCTGATGTATACTCCTAAGTAGTGATAAGACTGAACCTTACAATTGGAAGAGTTTTATGCATCTTCTGGGGACTGTCTCACTCATCTCATTGTCCTTGACATTTAATGTTTAAATGTACAATTTTATTTATAGTGTCTGTCGGGATGGAGTTCTTCTTTGTCAAACGCCCATCGATTTAACCCTAAGTAAGTATTCATACCAGGGTGGAATCTTAAAATATCTAGTGTGACTAAAATAGACAGATGAAAAGGTGCTTGATGAACAACTTTTATCTTGCAGAAAACTGTTCCGGAGGAGCTGAGTATGTAGACTGCAGCGATCCCAAGGCACAGAGAAGATCTGATAAAACGTGTAGCACTTGGAATATACCTGCTTTTGAAGTAAGTTACATGGCACTAGAGGTTAGCATTTTAGAACTTTTAATTTCTCTAGGGCAAAAGGAAACTAAAATTTTCAAGAAAGATAATTAGAAGGACAAATTTGTGCACGTGTTGTGTGTGTGTTTGTTACTTGTCAAATGCTGACCTTAAATGTGTACTTGTTGTATGTTTGCATTTAACTGGATTCTGAAAATGGTACATGATTACAGCAGTGTCTCATGGTGCATATTCTTTTATTTACTCCTATAGGGTGACTTGTCTTGCAAACGTGGGTGCTACTGTCCAGTTGGGATGGTTCGGAACTCTAAAGGAATTTGTGTCCTTCCTGATGACTGCCCATGCTCTTTCGGTGAAAGGGAGTATGACCAAGGAAGTGTCACTTCTGTTGGATGCAATGAATGGTGTGTAATAAGAGACTGCTATTTCATTCATATTTAGATATTGGGAAGTATACAATTTGTTCTTTATTTTTCATGTGAAAAAAATAGTCATACCTTGGCTACTTGAAAAAAAATAATGGCCACATATTAGAAAAAGCTGTTATTTTCATAGTATAATGATTTTTACAGAATTACATTTAATGAGTACCAGACAATATAATGAATACAAATGTAAAATTTAAGCCAAAATAAAACATCATTTTGTGTTTCTTTATAAAAACAATCTAAATATATGAACCCTCATATAATGGTTACCATGATCTTTCTCTCTCCTTCTTTCTCTCTCTTCTTCTTTTAGTACTTGCATAAAAGGGTCTTGGAATTGTACACAAAATGAATGTCAGACCACCTGCCACATGTACGGTGAAGGTCACGTTAGAACTTTTGATGGGCAAAGCTATAGCTTTGATGGTCTCTGTCAGTATTCATTTCTTGAGGTAATTATGAGTGTGTTTTATCACAATGTTTCTAATTACTTTATTGTTCATTTGTAGATGAATTCTGGACAATTTTATTTTCATAATGAGAATTTATTTTTAAGAAGGCTCTTTACGTGCTTTTAGAATGCAGTAAAATAGTGTACAATATGTGGCTGGTTCTGGAGGTGAGGCTTAGAATTCAGTTTTGGCTCTACCATTTGTCACACATGTGACTTTGGACACTTTCTCTAACCTCATGGTGTTTAAGATTCTGAACCTGTAAAATACCCATGAAAGTAAGATAGAGTATATACTAGAACACAATATTAAATACTCAATACATGTTAGATATTATTCTAACAGTAGCACTAGCAGCAGTGAAAGTACAAATGCCTCTTTGTCAAATTTATATAATTTATTACATTTAATCATTATAATACTATAAGAATATCATTATTCCTATGTACAGATGGAAGCATTGAAGTTTAGAGAGATTAGGCAATTTAAGCTAAGTAGAAATACATTTTTAAAAAGACTTTAATCATTTGGGCTGGGGATATAGCTCAGTGGCACAGTACCTGCCTGGCAAGTGCAAGGTCCCAAGTTCAATTACTGGTACTGAAAAAAACATACATTCAAATAATATGAAATCAAATTCCATAGTTCATATCTTGTCTTATTCTAACATTACAGTTGAATTCTGTGTCACTGATATTCACAAACTATTACAATTTAATTTTAAAAGGATTATTGTGGTCAAGAAAATGGCACGTTCCGTATTTTAACCGAGAGTGTCCCATGCTGTGAAGATGGGCTTACATGCTCGAGAAAAATCATTGTGGCCCTTCAGGTACACTACTGTTCCTCTACTTTCCTCTGGGAAAATGAGCTGCTGGGTGAAATCTGATCGAAAGTCCACGCTGTCCTTCCCATCTTTTAATTTCATAGGATCAGAACATCGTCTTGCAAGATGGTAAAGTAACGACAATCAAAAGCGCAGAAAGTCAAGAGTGTGAACTCAGTGAGAATACCTACTCTATACACACTGTTGGTCTCTACTTAATTCTGAAGATTCAAAATGGAATAATTCTGATTTGGGACAAATATACAAAGATTTCTGTCATACTGGACCCACGCTGGCATGTACGTATGTCACTCACAAGTGAAAAATGAGGAAGCCAAGTCATTTCTGTTACTGAAACTTGGACTCTAATGTGGAGGGCAGGGCAGTGGTGCGCTCTGCACTGCAGTAATAAGTCATTCACAGTTCTTCAGCCTTATCATGAAATAGGGAATATCGTGCAGGCACAAATGATAAAAGCCTGATGAGAAAGTAAATGCAATAAAATAGGCCTCCTAGTTTAAATGTGTTCAACTGCTTGAGATTATTATATGGTATGATTTTGAGGTAGTTGAATATTTGGAATTAAATGTACACATTAGAGCAATGTTTTAAGCACCAAACAGTATAAACGTGTACAATTTGAAACTCTCGGGGGCTGGGGATTTAGCTCAGCGGCAAAGTGCCTGCCTGGAAAGTGTGAGGTCGTGAGTTCGGTTCCCGGTACCAGAGAAAAACCAAAAAAAAGAGAAACTCTCAAATATGAGTATTTTTGGTTCATAAGGCAGTTATTCTACTTGAGAACTGATCAAGTGATTTGGAGTACTTGGGATTGGGTGGGAGCAGAATCTTATCTATAAATACTGAGTTCCTCCCTAATTTATAATTAAACATAGATTAATGATACAGTGTGTGTGTGTGTGTGTGTGTGTGTGTGTGTATATATATATATATATATATATATATATATATGTAAAATCATGATATCTTTCTATTTGTATGTCCCAGATCAGGCTCACTTTTAAATTTCCCTTTCAAATCCATACAGGGTAAAGTATGTGGTCTTTGTGGAAATAATAACGGCGATCTCAAGGATGATTTCACAACGAGGCACTCCTCCGTTGCTGCTGGAGCCCTGGAGTTTGGAAATAGTTGGAAAACGAGTCAGGAATGTTCAGACACAGTGACTCAAAGTTTCCCATGTGACTCAAACCCTTACTGCAAAGATTGGGCTGTGCGGAAATGTGAAATCCTCAGGGACAGCACCTTCAGAGACTGTCACAGCAAGGTAGGACAGCTTCAGAAAAGTTGTTGGCATAGGATTTTCTCCCAGAGACTCACGGGCCGTGTGTTCTACCTAGGTGGACCCCAGCACTTACTATGACGCGTGTATCGAAGAAGCCTGTGCATGCGACATGGAGGGCAAGTACCTTGGCTTTTGCACTGCCGTGGCCATGTATGCAGAAGCCTGCAACGCAGCCGGAGTCTGTGTCTCTTGGAGGAAGCCAAACCTCTGTCGTAAGTGAAGTCCATACACGGTGCTCCTTTAAAAATGTAATCCGATGGAACTCTTTTGCTGAGCAATCAATTTTCCCCTTCTCCCTCCTCTAAAGCACAGTTCTGAGCCCAGGAAGCCTTAAGCCCATTTGTTTATGATGGCAAGGACACCTAACTTTACACTTATACAGCACCTGGCACAGCACTCCCAATTCAATTCAGTTTAAAAAGTTCTTATGTTCAAAGGGTTGAAAACTGAACACTGACAGAAAATCTCTCATCCATTCTTCAATGAACCGTAAGCTATTGACCTATATTTGTACATCAGTTCATCCCTAAACATTTATCTTGCATACTACTTTTGGTTGAAATCCTCAAACATTTGGTTTCCTTGAGAATTTTTATAGTGCCCTATTCAAGAGCCATAAATTGACTATAAAATGAATATGGATGTATATGGAACATGATAGCCTTAATAGAGTCAGTCATCTGTCCTTCTAAGCAAGGCATTCTGAGAGGAAATATGCTAGGTGAGAAGCATTGAAATGGGCTCATTTTATTCTGTTTATAATATGCCGCATTATGTTACACTGACATCTTTAGTTACTTCATTAAGGAACCGTGACTTACATGTTAAAACAGCTTAATTTTCCTGTAGATTTATTTTTCCAACTTAAACTTGAATATTAAAACCATGAAAATAGATTATGACCTGGACTATCTTCAAATAAAAAAAAATTAATGATTACTTTTCTACCTCAAGCCAACCTTGGTGTGAGATGTCAAAGACAGAGCTAGTTGGAGTCTAGAAGCTTCCCATGTTTGGAGTGAGCGCTTGTTGTCATCAATGGCAATTAAATCCAACCAAAGGAACTTGATAATGAAGAATGATAGATGCTAGAGTAGTCTACTACTAATATCACCCAAGATCCTTTTCAAGAAATGGAAGTAATGTGATATATTCCCTTACAGCTGTGTACTGTGACTATTACAATGCACCCGGGGAATGCAGCTGGCATTACGAGCCCTGTGGTACTGTGACTGCAAAGACTTGTAAAGATCGGGTAATTGGCCAGAAGTTTTCCTCACTTTTAGAAGGTAAGACATATTCTGAAAATATCCACAGATTAGTAAGTGTGGAACTTGGATTTCAAAACTGTAATAAAATGTTTTTAGTTTCTCTCAGTTCATTGTCTCACCTGTTGTAATATAATGAATTTTTTTCTTTTTAGTTTCTATACTAGAAACATTTTCTGTAGACAAATTATTTAACTGGAGGTGGAAGGAAGGCAGAGAAAGGAAGAGATGATAGTGCTATGGTCCTACTGTCAACCTTTACACTGTTCATTACACAGTGCAGTTTGAGAAAGCAACATAACGCAGTCTTTTTAGAGGCCAAATAAAAAACATTTTACTCTTTGCCCTTTCTATCTTAGAAGTGGCAAGAAAGCAGAAGGATGCCAGAACTTTCCAAAAACCATACCTGTGTTAAATCCTAGTCTTTAGGATATTTTTAGCCCTTTTATGTAACTTTTGTCTCTTCCTCTGCTCTTGCAAAAATAGGCGTTGGGACTGGCATTCACATTTTAAGGTTCGTATTTACCGAAGCCTTTTTTATGTGCAACCTGATGCCCATCATGAAGGGAGCAATCATTTAAAAATATCTTAGGAAACATTTTAGAAAATTAAGCTGACCAAAATCTGTAAGTTCTTAGGCTGACATTTCATGGCCAAAGATTCTGTATCTTGTTCCATTTGTGTATTCTCATTACGAGTCTGAGGTTTTGTTACTGTCCACTTCCGATCATGGAACTACTGGGATAACGTAACACTCAGTAGTGTACGGTGAATTTTATTAAATAAAGATGAACTGAGGCTCATTTTTCCATGCAGGTTGTTATGCCAAGTGCCCGGACAGTGCTCCCTATCTGGATGAGAACACCATGAAATGCGTCAGTTTATCCGAGTGCAGCTGCTTCTATAACGACGTCATCCCAGCCGGGGGAGTCATTGAAGATAATTGTGGAAGGACATGGTACATTCTCTACTAACTTTCCAATCATTCTGATTTTGTTGGCTTGCATTTTAATTCAGGAAATCAACCAAACAACTTGTGCGTATGTGTGTGTGCACGCACACATATACATTTTAATTGTCATTTCTAAATGAGTCTTTGGGTTCAGTTTTATATCAATTTTGTTATTTTTGTATTTTCAGAAAATTCACAAATCAATAGATGGTTCGCTAAATCTTGTTCTTAATAAGAGAAGGCAGAACAGAAAATGTCACAATGTAGTTTTAGTTGTGTTTTTTAAACTTGTATAAACTGAGTTCATGTTCCCAGGCTTTCAAATATGGCAGCACACGGATGAGGTCATACTCAGGCCATGGTGCCAAATACCACTGTTTGAAACTAAAAATGTAAGACCTAACTTTCAGCTTTGTTACTAAAAGGTGGTCTCAGTCTCAGCTGATATGCAGGTTCTTTGTAGTCTGAATAAAGAACTGAGCAGGACACACAAAAGCAGAAAGAAAGAGATTTATGGAAGAGAAAATGTACTCCACAGGGCAGGAGCAGACCAATGAAAAAACTCAAACGAGTTTGACTCAGAGTGGTCTGCTTTAGGTTTTGAGGTATTTATTGGAACTTTTTCCGGGTCTTGTGGTCTGAGGTGGCATCTAACGAAACTCCATACAGTTCAATGAGAGTCTCCACCTACATACACAACCTAGTTAGGACCAGCATGGCTGCTAATCCCACCCACTGGGGGATGTCAAGATTGCAATGCTAATGATGTCTTAATGACCTTGGAGTCATCCTTGGTTACTAGACAGCACTTAGAGCACATGTCTCTCTGCTGTGCCAGATGGCAAGTGTGCTAAGGGAAAGAGGTATCTCTTAGTCTCCTGCCAGCATGTTAAGGAAGCATAGTTACAGCGGGAAGTTCTGGTAGTCTTTAAACCTGGAAGGAGTCCTGCCGGCTGTGAGCCCAAGACCAGAATACCTCTCAAACTCTCCTGCTGCAGCTTGACTGTAAACCAAGAGCTCTTTTGGGAAATGAGTAGGAATAAAGTGCATGAAAGAACAAGCAATTTGAATTAGCTTTATGTTCTCAGAGAAAAAAGTTATTTACTCTCCTCTTGCTTGGTTCTGTGTGAGTTTTACCCTTAGAATTCAGTGACTTAAATTAGTGAGCTCTATGCTACTTGGAGTCAAAATTTTAAACGCAGTCTTTTCTTCTCTATTTAACTTTCAGCTATTGCATCGCTGGAGAATTGGAGTGCACTGGTGAGTCATTATACTTTGCTTTAATCGATTTAGGGAAGATGAGGTAAGGGATTTAGCAGTGGTGGCTAACCTATGGCGTTCCTGTGGTTTGTCTTCTAAGACAAAAGGTTAATGTCTGAGTTATTTTTCTAAACGAAAACCTCAGTACTCAAGTTTAATGGCAGTACTGGCACGTGGTGATGATACATGTGTTCCAGGCTGCAGTTTGAGCACTCTCTCTAGAAGGTTCTCTGTCCCTGCTTCTCCATCAACGCTGAGAGGCGGGCACTTGATGGTTTTGACTGCCCCGGGTGATTGACACAGATCTTCCCTTTTGACCATCACTGACAGTCACTGTTCAAAACCAGTGCTACAAAGACCCTTGGAATCCTTGTCAGGGGTCAATTCCGATACTCAGGAGAGGTTCTCCTATTCCTCTGACCTTAATTTGTCTGTAGTTCTGGCAACTCAGGTGGAAAAAAGAGGCCTTTATCAGTCAAAATAGTTTAATAAAGGGGTGGAGTAGAAGCAGAGATTAGAAGGATTAAATAATCAAAGGACTATTTGGGAACAGAACATATTTTAAAAATCTCAGGTTTCAAAAGAATACATAAAATACTTCTTTTTGTATTAGGAATTATAAAAACAAAATGAAAAGACAGATGCCTTTTAGACAACTTGAGATGTAGTAGCTTTTAAATTCCTGTCCATAATAATAATGTTTTATTATTTCAGAAACTACTACAATAAATTCCACATTTACAGGTAAACTCGTTACGTTTTAAATGAGTATTTAATTTTTGTGGTTAATTTTTTATCGAAGGGCCAGTTTTTATAGTTTACTCTGACAGTAAGCAAATATGGTGGTAAATCTGCTCATATAAAATTTTTAAATTAAAATGAACTTACTAGAAAAAGTCCGAATATTATTTCATTATATTTTTGTGAATTAAGTTAGGGAAAGGCTTAGAAAACAAATATTCTATACGAATTAGTTAATTATCATCCTCTGAAGAAAGACATTTTCAGGTAAAAATTAATGCAACTGGTAAAAGAAGCGAATGTGATCCACAAAGTAAATATTTTAAAATAATGATCACAGTGGGACTAATTTGAAAACACAGAAATGAAGAGTGAATTTCTTTTTAATTCATGTGTGTATGTCAAACAATAACTTAAGTAGTTTGCTTATGCTGATTCAGGAGAATGCTGGGCAATGAGTTATTTTAACTTTAGTTTTGGGGTTTTACACTAACTAGGAGTATAAATTCACTTACACTTGCTGTAATACACCCACAAATTTCTGCTTATCATGGTTTAAGGAAAGATGTAATTTCCTATTGACCTGTATTTGGAGGTGGTATCTATCGAGAGACTGGAAGCTTATGTTGTTTGATATTATATTTAAAGTTAGGTGACATTCTGAAAATGCTATTTAAATTTTAGTTACTGTTGATCATGTGCTGAGTGTAAGTTATCACATATGGGGGCTTTGAATTATATTTCTTGACACTTTCTATAAAAAGACTTCATAAGGTTGCTCTGAGATTTAAGTAGCAATAAGTTGTAATTATTTTTGGTGATATATATATAGTTTTTCTGGATTATATATATACATATATATATAGTTTGTTATTTAAATGAAAATTATTTTGTCACAACCTCTGTGCACAATTTCAGAATTTGTAATTTATGGCAACTGGTTTCTGGAACTAAATTTCCCATAAAAATTATTCAACTAATCTATTTGCATAAATACTATCTTCCCTGAACAGTTTCCACTGTAACAGCTACCTCAGTATTAAGCACCAAAACGGGTAAATATTAAAAATACTTGACTATTATTGTTTTACTTTTTAAGTTAACAACATCAGGACTCTTTTCTTCAAATTTTACAATCTCTGTTTATTCATTTCCTAAATGTTCATGGCAAGTAGCAGGATATACATCTAATTATAAGATCAATTACAAGAATATCTTACTGTACTTATTCAAAGGTTATCTATCCTAAAAAGAACATTCTGCATACTACCAATTAGGAAAAAGTGCCAATACGGGAAAATACTATGTTTCATTTTTAAGCTCTTTCACCAGTACCAAGGGATTGTTCATTTTAATTGGATGGTATGTAATTAAAGCAGAGTATAAAGATTTATTGAAATATGTAAACATCTGATACATGAACTTAACTCTTACATTCAATCATTTATTTGCATTCTGGAGATCTCTAAACATTTTTAGATAAATATTTTTAACCTTGTCTTTCAATACCATTTTAACTCACATTTTCAAACATTTATCTCCCCTTTCACACAGCGCTTACCTTGGTTACCAGTAGCTCAAGCACAGGTAAGCTAGATCCTCCAACTACAACTTAAACTGCAGGGGATTTTAAAAAACTCCCTAATGTTTTCAGGATATGCCCTCAAAATGACATTTTTATAGGCAATAAATAAATTGTATTTCTTTTTAAAAAATATTTTCGGGAGAGTTTTTAGGGACAATTTATGTAAAATGATTGTTTTTTTAAACTTATGATCTGTAACTTTGTTTCATATTTTAGCTTTTCTTCTAGTGGTTAATTACCCTGAGACATTAATTTTAAGTTGATCTATTTATAACCATAGATTTTCTTAAAAGCCTACTTCCCCCCCATGCAAAATTTATTTTTCTCATTGTTTTCTCAAATTCAGCAACATCCATTCCAGTGATTACAACATTGAACAGTGAAACAACAGGTAGGTAAATCAGGAACTTTATAAATGACCAGTAAAGGTCATCACATATATGAAAAACTGTATATTTTAGGTACAAATCCAGAACAACTTACATATTAGAGTCAATACCAGGTTGATTATAGTTTTGAAATAATAAGGTCTGAATATCCCCTCTGATCATCCAAAAAGTTTTCCCAGTTTAGCTAACGTTCTGTCTTCATCCTAAACTTTAAAATTCACTGAACAGGCTTCAGCGTCTTCAGTGTAAACAAAAATAAGAGAAAAAACTTTGGAGAAATGGCTAAGCAACAAGTTAGCACTACAGCTCTACATGTTACTTTGTTGGTGATACAGTTACCTTCCTTTATTTACATTAATTTTCCAGTGAAAAAAGTCAACATATCCATCACATACCTACCACTTTGAGAAAATCGTTAAGGGGCTTTGCTCTCCCAAATCTACACTATTCGTGACATACCCACTTTCCCGTAATTAGGGTTCTTCTCTCCAGCCTAACATGATTTCTCTTTAGGCTTCTAGTGAGTAAGTGCCTTGAAGTCACAGACCGTAGCTTGCCATCACTTTATTCCCAATTGCATCCGTTATCAAATGTCAAGCTACACAATAATATTCAATAACGATTTACATAATAAATGGATAACTCTTCCATGTCAAAAGTTTATAACTCAAGTTGTATATTTAGGCACAAAATTTTTGGTGAAGGCTGGATTATTTGGTTAGAAATTAATTATACTGATAAATCCTTTAGTTCATATATTTTACTCTCCTTAGGGTTAATGTTCTTTCTGTGGAATATAAAAATATAATGTTTAATCAAAAGTATTTTAGATTATAAACTGATATTGTAATATAGAATTATGACTATAATTTTAAACATTTTATAATTCTTAACATTGTTTTATTCATAATTAGCGTATTTTTATATCCAAAGGATAAATGTGTATCTTAATATATCAACCATCATAATGTGTAATATCTGTAAAGATACTGCCAAAACATACTTATTCCTGTCAAATTTCCTTTCATGTTGGATTTATTAACAATACCACGTGCTACTAGCCTTTCAACTAAAATTATAGAAAGGCTGACACATTTCAAAAGTGTTTTTCCTGCATTCTGTTATCATAAATTCATTTCCTGAGGCAAATAATTCCATCTCAGTAGTTCTGAACTGTCTCATGTGCACCACAGAATAATTTTCTTAGCTGTGTGTTGTCTCAGCCACAAACCACGGGCAGAATTTCTCACTGTCAGCTTGGATTTTTTTGTTTCTAAAACGAATTTGATGGATTTACATAGGTCTTTTTGAGTTAAGTGATTCTTTGCGCTATTAAAACTTTTCAACTTTATGGCTACTTCAATAAAAATTTCCTTTAATGTTGATTGGATGGATTGCAGAAGTCGGTATGAGTCAGGAGCCATTTGGCGAATTCGTTCGTGCAATTTTTCCAATATGATGATATAACTGCATCCTATATCACAGCAGGCTTTTTGAACTGAGAAACCTTATTCAATTTTTTTATGAAGGTTTTTTCCTTGATTTCACTTTTCCACCTCTCAGTTTTAAATGTAATACTCACTTGTATTTTGTCAATACTTTGTCAATACTGCATTGTAAAGCAAGGAAAAAGTCATGAAATCACCAAACAGGGTTTTTGTGAGCAACTGATGAAATTTTAGATGTAAAAATATCTCACTAACTGTAAATCTATACAAATTATATCAATCATCTTCATGATAACATTTTGCAAATCATAAATCTAAAGTAGAGTCAGTTTGTAGGGAAGATCACCTAATACAGGTGTATTATTTCCCTGAACTCAATAGTTATTGTTTATGACTTTTTGTGCTTTGCCTTTGTGGATCATAATGTTTCATTTAATTTCGCTGAAATTCTGGTAGACATTTCATGCTTCAAAAGTATAATATTAATAATTTACTAAATGCTACATTAGTACTATATTTAAAGATATAGCAAATAATAACTTTTATTTACTATATTGTGGTCCTGTTATTAAGTATTTTTCATACTGTAAACTCAACACATCTCAGCAATCCTCTAAGTATTACTGTTCTCTGCAATCTCCCTCTACCTATCATTCCATGGGTGATATGACACAAAGAATTTAATGTGTTTAGGGTGAGAAGGATCAGAATGAAAAGGAGTTTTTTGGTGGGATACAATGAGAAAACAGTTGTTAGGCACAAAAGCCAGAAATTGTAGTCAACATTATTCTAAAACCAGGAGAGAAAAATAATACAAAATGCTTATTTTTTATGTTAATATTGTCCAATAATATTATTGGATACAAACTCTTAAGTAAATTTAATCTAATCTCAGTGTATAGAAAAATTTCATTATCAAATCAGTATTACCTTCTCATCATTTATCAATAATCCACACATAGTTAATCCTATTGCTGAAATACATTATTACCCTGATAAACTGAAACGGACACAATTTTGGTTATGTATTAAACTTCAGTTTTAAAATGATGATTAATCGGTAAGACTTGATTTAATTCTTAGATCCTTGTGTGTGATTCCAAATCTCTTCTGAGTTATTTTTGCTCACATCAAATTCAATGAAAGGGAGTTTTATAATCATTTCAGTGATAATTAATTTGATGCTGTCCACAATCTGTGGCTGGAAACCTGAATCATACCTCTTGGTCATCTCTCTTCATACAATTAACTGAATAATCATCCATTGTTTGCTTCAACTTGTACTATGAACTCTTAGACAGTATGCAAAGGGTTGAGAATAATATGTAATATTTCTGGACTACATGTCAATTTCTTTCTGACCTGGGAATCATATTAACCCATGTAAAGTGAGCATGGTAATTAGAAAGACTCTTAGTAAGCATGTTATATTCATTATTAATAGTTTAATTTTAAAACTCAAAAAGAAAAGGAGCCATCTGTTGTCTATTAATATTCAAGTAAGAATAAGACGCCAAAAAATTTTTTTTATTTTCTTAAATTTGTCCAAAGCATCTTGCTGAAGTGAAAATACCCTAAATTGCTTGCTTTTACAACACTTTAAAAAGAAATAAAGATCTTTTGGAAGGGCAATTGCCTGGTGTAAATTGTAGGGTTGAAATTCACATCTGACTACTTTTGCTGACATTGGAGGTTTAAAAGTTGAACAGCATTTGACAGATTGTGGTGAATCCATAACTACATATGACTTTTAAGTCTTCTAGTGGCAAGCCTCGCTTGATCAGGCTGACAAAAATGGACCTCATCTTCTAAAGTGTGAATTTAGTTACCATCACTGACATGTTTTGCTTTATTTTAAATATAGTATACATGAGCTCAAAATAGACTAAAAAGTGGAAATTAATATTTTGATATATTAGAACTATGAAGTTACATCATTTCAAATGTGTATTGGTTATCCATGACTTGTCTATAATGGAAAGATTGGTTTCACACACTGAGATATCTATTTCACTCAGAAATTTTGGCTTACAGTTCTAGGCTTCTAAATATAATTTTATGGTGTATAGCATATTAATATTTTGGAGTTGAATTAATATGATTAGTAGGGTGAACTAAGGATTTCTACTTTATTTTTCTATTTTGTCTTAAATAAATTTAAAAACCTATAAATTCTTGAATACAAAGGTAAGATATATTTTAAAAAGAATTGGGTGCGGGGCCAGCTTTTTACCACTGATTTGTTCGTTGGATCAAGTTTTGGATCAAACTGTAAGCTTGGATAGAAGTTCATATATGACCTCATCTTTGCACATGTTTTTCTGACCTTGTGGGGTACATAGCACAGAACTGAGTGTGTTTTTGAAGAATACAGAAAAGCACTGCAGAAAAATGTGAAGCCCAAAGGAAATGATATGTAAAGCTTACTATTATCGCAGGAGATCTATCTTATATCTAGGAATATATATATCATATATATATGTTTATGTATACCTTGATGTGTGTATATATACATTACATGAATGTATAACACACATAGGTATATGCACACATGTGTACATGTGTATGTGCATGTATGCATGTAAACATATACATATGTAGATGTGTTACACACATGCATGTATACACATATATTCTTTTCTCTATAATTCTAATATATATTATTTTCTGTACAATAATTGCTTTCAAAAAACTGAAATGTCATGGGAAATGCCTAGCCAATGATTGTAATAAGTGTGTTATTTTTAGAAGAAATATTACTAAGTTACAAAACTTTTCCTACTTAGATTGCCTAATCTAGTCATACAGTTAGTATTTACTCATGTTGTTCTAATTATTTGACACATATTTCTCTTGATGAAGAAAACTATGACATGATGCCATTTTCCCCCTATTTACAAATGAGTAAACAGAAGCACCAAGAGGTTATGTATGTGTCAGAGTTACTCACTATTAAATGCAGGCAAAGAATTAAGATCCAGGATATCTTTTCCAAGACTCCAGCTCTAATGCCTCTGTGTCTTGATATTTAAAAAAAGAGTTGAATTAAATCAGTTATTTAAAGTAGCAACATAGAATTGTATGTTCTAATTTCAAGTTAAGACTTGTGTCAAAATTTGTAATTTATAATTTTTGTGAATTACTATTAAAATAAAAACCTTGAGCTGGGCAGGGTGGTGCATGCCTGTAATCCCAGCACTCAGGAGGCTGAGGCAGGAGGATTGTTGCAAGTTTGAGACCATTTTGGGCTACAAAGTGAGCTCAAGGCCAGCCTGAACTGCACAGCGAGACCCTGTCTCAAAAAGACAAGGTAAATAAATACATAAAATAAAATAAAGAATTTCACTGGGTGTATGTATTTTACTATTCTTAAAAACTGAAAATCTCAAAATTGTAGTTATAACTGTGGGCTATATAAAAATTTTCTTTGTGTAATGTGCTCATTCTTAAATACTGTCAATTATAGAAAACAAATAATGGTATAGGGACAATTTAGGGAGGCAGATGAGTGTAGTGATTTGAATTCTGTCTGTGCTTTTCTAGCTATGGGACCCTGAAGTCCCCCAAACACATGGAGCTATAATTTTCTCATTTATTACACTAGAAAAAATAATAATATTTACACTGTAGGATTTAAGAGTAAAATTTCAGCTTAGTGTAGTATACGGTAAGAAGCTGTTCAACTTTAACATTAATAATTCATTAAGTAAGTGAATTTAGATTTTAATAGAAAAGATCAGTATTTTTTCAGTAACTTCGTACTATTTTATGGATTTTTCCCCAGAAATATATTTTGCAAAAATACTTTGCAAAAACAGTTACAGTAGTTTTTATTGTTCATAAAGGAAATGTTACAGATTCTCCATAAACTTATCTTACAGATGTTTAAGCAAATAAACCTATTGAATGAGAATGCAAAGTATTTTTTTCTTTATACAAATTGAAATGATTCTTAATAGTAATCAAGAAACTTAATGGTAGTGAGGAAATTAATTATAAATTATTAAGGGCATAATCAGGAGAAAAAATGGTGGCAGCCACCTGGGAAAATATTTAGAGTGGAGTGTAATACTATAATCTTGTAGTGGTAGAGCTGTCAGTATCCTTATAAAGGCAGCTTTTGCTATTACCACTTATGTCTTGGAAACGAAGAAGCTAATGCACAGTAATTCACAATATCAAGTAGTTTGAGATTTTTTTTTTTTTCCCAGTACCAGGAATCAAACTCACGACCTTGCGCTTACCAGGCAGGCGCTGTGCCGCTGAGCTAAATCCCCAGCCCCTAGTTTGAGATTTATATCCACTTGCAAATAATAGAAAACCCAGTTGAAATTGTAATGGTCATGGTTGTCAAAATTAGTGAGAATGCTATAGCTTTCTCTGTCAGTTTTGGTAGTAGATAAGTGAAGAAAAGTAAATTCTCATATATTCCTCGTAGTAAAGGCTTATCCCTGCTTTTATTGCTGTATCAACAATTTCAGACTTACATCTTCTGACGTTCAATCGTGGGAAAAGGGAGCTATATCATAGTAGCCTAACTGGTATGTACTCTAATCTGTGACTAGTTTAGTTGCCTCTATAACCTTGCTAACATTAGGTCTCTGAGATCTGCTTTGGAGCATGTTGTTGTATTAGCCTCATCAATGACCAGGGAAGGCCTATTATATATGCAAAATGGTAAAGATTTTCTTTTAATCAGTGTGCTATGGTGCACCCTAGAATCCTCTTAAATCCATGTTGACTGGAGGATATTCTGGTGGGGAAATTTTGGAGTTTGATTTTATTCCATATGATAATGCTGCGTATAATGAAATATAATTGTCTTGAATTTGAAAGTGCTGAAATTGAAATTCCTTAAAGGTTAAATCAATACTGGGAAATGGAATCTGCACCCAAATCCTTTGGAATATCAGCATCTGTCCTACTTCATCACTATAATCTCAGTAGTCTCTATGGCTCATGGCATGGTACTCTTTCTGTGCTACCCTTGCATCCAAATCAGCAGGGAATTCTAATTCAAACACCACTTACTGTGATGATTAGTGAGAAGTGGTATCAAGATTTGAGCTAGTGTATTGATGGAGTCTGCCCACTACTGATTTTGAGAATTCGGCTCAAACCTTCACGCTGGTTTTGAAAACTCACACAAATTTTCTCCAAACTACTTAATGTACTTATTATATATCCATTTTAAGGCAGTCAGACAGACAGGAACTTTAAGGCTTATTTATAAATTGTAGAAGGTAATCAGTTAAATTTCTATTAATATGGTGCATGGATATTTAAAAAGCTTAAGAGCTGTAGGAGATGCTGTATGATGCATCTGTATCATCTGTTTGCTGTGACTCATACTACACGGCTGTAAGAATCACAGCTGTAGGTATTGGGGGACAGATTTTAGAAATAGCTTTTTCACTGACCAGCAATGGAAAAAAATCACTGACCTTTTCTGAGTCCAATTCTTTATGTAAAAATGGGTGTCCAATAATTCTTTAAATTCATTAATGTAATCCACAAATATTTAGTAGGTGCTTCTTATGTGCTAGATATTCTGATAGGCATTAGAGATATAAAACTGAGTTAAGATGGAAGTGTTGGAAATGGGAGAGAGAGAGAGGATTAGACCAAGGCAGGGAAGCCAGAGAGACTGAAGAAAGAATGACTGAGTTGAGATCCAGCCCCTGAAGATTTAAGTAGAAGAGAAGACCCGTGGTCCAGGGGTGCAAAAAGGAATCCAAAAAGTGGGTCTGAAGGATGGTGAGAAGGCAGTGTGGCTGGGGAGTGGTGTGAATGGATTTTTCTTCTTTTTTAACATTTATAAAACACTGTTAGATTACAGTGATTTTATTACATAAAGTAATCAATGAGATTCCCAGAGATTTTCAATGACAAGTAAGACTGAAATAGAGAAAATACCTAAGTCTTCATTATTTACAAAAAGCAGAGGTTAAGAATGGCTTACTTTTTAAAGTTTTTTATTTTATGAGAAAATAAAACAAAATTTCATAGTCAATAATAGAATAACAACAGTTCTTACACTGTTATCTTACAATAGTTCTTATTGTTATCTTCAATAATGGCTTATTTTTAAGTGTATGGACACCACAGCAAACATTTAATGAACTTCACATTCCTGCAGGGAGCAGACACCAGGAGTATAAACACGAGTTCCTCTCTCTTCAGGAGTTTACAGATAGTCCACAACCATGGTTTATTGGTAACTTCAAGCTTATTTCCATGGAACTGGTGTAGCAAACCATAAAAATGCATAATAAAAATATCTCTCCCTTTTCCTTAGACTCTTACAGACTAACTGCTACTTAAAAAATGCAAACTGCAACCAGAAATGAAGGATACTGAAGAAATCAATGGACAAAATGAGCTTCTACTTGAAAAACTGATTTTGTTATTGTTCATATATACGTGTTACATTTATCCTGCGTTTAATAGAATTCAGTATGTGAATATGAGGGATTATATTAGTCAATGCATATACACATATGCATTACAAACTGTACCTTAATGTCACTATTTAAATAAATTTATTACTAACCTCAAGTACTAAATATATTATAAGCTACTTCATATTGAAAACTAGCAAGTGAGTAACTGTTCTAGTGTTTTTCTTTTGAGGTTAGAAAAATTCACACTGCTTCTGTTTTTCTCATCAGGAACAAGTCCAGGTCTCACTGAGCCTTTTACTACAGGTCAGTGAAGGACTTCCTGCTTTTAGTTGAAATAAAAATATATAACATGGTAAATTACTAGTAATTTAGGGCTTTTATGAAAAAACTTATATGACAGCTTGGGTGTTGGAAAAATATTTCAAGAAAGTAGATGGCAAGGCTTTCCCCCCTGATATTAATTAGTTTGGAAAACGGGATTGAATTTGTTTTGGGTCAGTTTTTATTAACTAGGTATACTATGGTTCCCAGTTGCATATTCTTCCTTACCATTCATTATTAAAAAAATACAGCAATACACAATAACTCAAATACGTAAAGCATGTACAAGTTGAGAGTGAAGTTATATGTAAATCGTGGCCTATTTGTCTTATTTAGGTATTTTAAGTGTAAAAATAGTACTTAGATATATCTCACTGAAGTGTTTCATCCTGGCCATCATCAGCATTTAATAACAGAAATGAGACAATGGGGTTCGGCTTATTTTAAAATCAAAGTGTTTGACATGAAAGGATGAACAATTGGTATAATTCAAACTTAGCTCGCAGGAGCATATCCTAGTAAAGGAAAAAAAAAATCTGAATTGACTGATCCAAAATATTAGAAAAAGTATTAAGAGTCTAGTATTTGAACAAAATCATAGGCGATCTCAGGCAGAAAGTCATTCAGATAGTTGTGGTCTATTTTCTAATGTACAAACTGGCAGTGAAGTCATACATTGCTGGCCATGTCTAGGTAGACTCCATGAAATTTTTCTAATACAATACCAGGCTTAAGTGGTTACTCTCTCTATGTAATTAAAATGGACTTAGTCTTTTCAAGAGTAACTTTCTTAATATAAATCTTAAATACTTCCATAAGCTTGGTAGTGGGTAGTGCATGTGTGGTGTGTCAGTCTGCTTTATTGATGTGTTTGGTCTTTCTCAGGGACAGCTAGAGTGTCAACAGGAATAACCACAGCAGCTGAAAATGGAAGCACAAGTGAAACAACATTCACAGCAGGTGAGAGAAAGAAATGAGATCCATGCTGTATTCCAGGCATATTTCCAGAAATTCTGCTCAGGTTCTATCCATCAACAACTTTGCCCTGAGTGGAAGTGAGATGAGGAGGGTATGAAATTGGAGCTGAGTCAATTGAAGGACTTTGGGGGAAAACTAAAGAGACAAGACATAGATACTAAAGAAATATGAAGGATTATACTAGTCAAGGATTGGTTCCAATATGAATTCTGCAAGACAGGCTACCTGACGTAAAAAGAGGTATATTTAGCTAAAAGAATTACAGTTCAAGGGTTTGATGCCCAAGGGGGCTCAGCTCTGAGGACAGGTTTCTCATTCATATCACAATGGGGTAGACGGAAAAATTGGGAGCATTTTCAGGACTGAAAAACACAGATGAAAACAGAGAGATACAGAATATTTGGTGGCAGTAGGCTCAGGCTTATCTGAAGACATCTCTGAAAGAAAGACATATATGTTAACATGTTCTGCTTGTTCTATGGACATAAGGTTTCACATGCAAGACTGTATTACACAGGATTGTTGAAACTGACTGTAAATCACAGAAATGACTTTCATTTAACATAGAGAGATATGAAGAAAAGCAGTTCCAAAGAAACGGGAAGAAAGACAGGGCATTAACGAGGACGGCCTCCTTCTGTCCTGCTCCCCATTCTGCAGAGGGAGGCCTGGGTCCAGGAATGGGCTGAGCCGCAGGGGTGGTGTGTGGGAGCCAGGTGGCAGAAGCTGGTGGTGGCCGAGCCCGTGAGGCGGCCGGCCCGTCCTTCCGTCGGGCAGCCCCAGAACAGGCCGCCGCAGCGTTCCCTGCGCGTGAGGCTGCCGCCTCAGCTTTCCGGGAACTGAGACTTTTTCCTCTCCCTGGCACCTCAGGCCCATCCACTGAGAGCAGCCCTGCAACGAGCATGGGCAGCAGCACGACACCTACCAGTAGCGTCACCTCGGGGCCCGGTAAGTGCCAGCAGGCTGGCCTGAGCCAGGCCTCAGCCTCTGTCCCGCACTGCAGCGTGTCCCCAGGCCTCGGGGGCAGGGCCTAAGGTCCTACCTGGCCAGGCCAGCCAGGAAAGACAGCGGGCTGAGGACAGGAGGGCGCCCGGGGCCGTTCCCAGTCCTGTGCTGCCGCCCCGCACCCCGAGAGGTGGCAGGCAAGGCAGGACCCAGCAGCAGGCTGAACCCTCGCACCAAACTGCTGTCCCTTCCAGGGACCACAGGAGGGTCTACGGCCTCCAGCACGGCCAGCCCAGGATCCTCAGCTCCGCCCGCCTCCACTTCTGCAGCTACCAGCCAAAGAGGTGAGCACGAGGGCCAGATCCACCTGAGCAGGCCGCGTGTCCCCTAGGAGAGACGGCACTTCTGCTTCTACCACTTCTGCCACTACCACTTCTGGCACTACCAGCCAAAGAGGTGAGCGGGAACGACAGGTCCTCAGGGCTGCAAACACCCCGGGCCCCAGGTGGAGGGTGTCAGGGGGGGGCCCGCCCTCCATGGGCGGCTTGCTGGGAGATCCATCCCGAGCAAACCCATAGCCCAAGAAGCAAGCAGAGATCTAGGCGGGGGGCGCTGAACATCCAGAGCCCTGTTCCCTACAGGCAGGCACCCCAAGGGCAGTGTGCCCTCCAGAGCTGCAAGGCAGGGCGGTTCGCAATATCTGGACACACTCCTCGGGGTGCCAGGCCCCGTTGCTTGGCTCCAGGGGATTCCAGGTCCCACGGGGCCATCTCCGATGCACTTGAGCCTGCCGGCAGTCCTTTAGGAGAGGGACTTGAGTGTCTGCATGGGGAGCTCCAGCTTCATAGTGGTGGAATTGTCAGCATCCCGGGGTCTCTGCAGAACCCCCAGGCAACGCCCCTGCTTGTGCTCCAGCTGCCAAACCTGCAGAGGGCATTTGTGGACCCCACGGAGAGGGTGAGGGAGGGCCACGTGGATTGGGCACGAGCGGACCGAAGTAGCTGAGAAAGGGCAGGAACTCCAGGCACAGGAGCTGCCGAAAAGGCATCAGCCTGGCCCATCAACGCGTCATTCGAGGCAGGCAGGCAGGCAGGCAGGCAGGCAGTGTCCTGTAGCAGGGGTGAGGTGAGCCGGGCTCCTCGGCCGGCCCCTTTGAGCAGCCGGCCCCTGGGGCCTTCCCGAGAGGCGAGTCCCCTGGAATTGCTGTCAGGGCTTCTGCTCAGCGCCCGCTCAGTCTTCGGGAGGCTGTGCTGGCCGGCTGGTCACGCGAGCGAAAGTGTCAGGCCATCCCCTAGAGAGCCAGAGCAGCCCCGCCTAGTGGGACACCCCGGTGCGTGTGTGATCTGGCTGACATGAGCATCCAGGGCAGGCCCTCAGATGACCCCTCCCCAGATCGATGCCTCATTCACCTTGGCCGGCCAGCACCGAGGCAGGGTGTAGCCAGATGTCTCCTCTGGCCAGGTGCAGAGTCCGGGGCAAGGCTCTGCCCGTAGCTCGCAAGGGGAGTCCGTGCACACAGAGCGCAAGAGAGTCCCGTCACGGGGTGCTTTCCCCGAGCTGCTGGAGGGCCTTAGTGAAGTGGCCCAGCTAAGTGAAGTGTCCCCACGGCTCCTTGCTGTTGTCCACGTGGTGGCCATGCTGGGGATGTGGGGTTCCTAACCACGGCCCGATCCCCAGCGCCGGCGCTCGCACCGGCCCGCACCCACACCCACACAGCCACCTGGACCCAGTAGATGCTGAGGGCCCGAGATGGCAGCAGGAGCCGGCCACTTGCGCAGTCGCGGCCTAAGGCCCCAGGAGCGCTTTGCTCCCACTCTCTGGGTGACCTGTGCCCCAAGATCACCACACTAGGCGCCAGGACGCTCATGGTGGTCCTGCAGACATGCCGAGGTTGCACACAGAAGCCTGCGGGTTGCGGGCGGCGGCCAGCCTGGCTGCCTGGAGACGGGGACTGGTTGGATGCCCATGCTGGTGTCTCGAGGGAGGGGCTCTGGCTTGGGCTTGGTCCAGGGAGCCTGGGCTTACCTCGGCAGGGACAGGCAGAGCCCTGCAGCCCTAGGGAATGAATCCTTGTGTCCAGGAATGCCCCAGCATTGGAGGAGGAGAAAAGGAGCCCAGGAGGGCGAGTTGCTCTTGGTAGCTCGGGCAGGAGCTGGTTGAATTTTGGGGCCAGAGGCCCCCGGGCTGGCTGAGGCGCAAGAGGACCCAGAGGCCAGGGCTGGTGCGGGGCGGCAGGCGCGTCCGGCCCTCCTTGGCGGGCCCCTCACCCGACGTGCCCTCCGTTCCCTGTTTCCTCTGCCAGTGACCAGCACCACACCCAAGCCGGGGACAAGCGCGCCCCGGAGCACGAGCACTGAGCACCCGTCCTCTACAGGGAGCACAGGTGAGAAGGGGCTGTCCCTCCGAGCTCAGGACTCCTGTCCCGGCGGGGAGTCCTTCTCTCCTCAGCAGCCAGCCTCTTGCCAAGCAGAGTAGCTGAGGAACAAGTGGGCGGGGGCAGTGGGAAGCCCAGGGCCGGTGTGTCCAGGGCAGCGCAGGCAGATCTTTGCTGGAAAGCAGGAAGTGTCCTCGGGGGTTGGTGTCTTCCTCGCGGTATTGGGCCTTGACGCCCTGCCGTTGTCACCCACAAGGATCTAGCATCGCCGGCGAGGCAAGCAGCCTAGGAACACCCAGGGAAAGCACATCTGCGGACACAGATGTGCCCTGCTGCCATGCAGGAGGGTGCTGGGTGCTGGAAGCTGAGTCACAGGGGGTCGCCCCTGGGCAGGGGGTCCCCTCCGTAGTGCACTGCAAGAAGGGAGGGGGGCCAGGCGGGCAGAAGATGGGCCCTGGATGCGGAGATGTGTGGTGCCCAGCACAGGGGTGCGCAGGTGCAGTGGACCCCCCATAAACGCAATGGTGGGATGACCACGGGTACCCACTGGGCTTGGCATGAGAGCAAGAGGGAGGGGCAGCACTTTCCTTGAGAGAGGCAGAGAGACACAGAGACAGGGACAGAGAGACAGAGATAGGATCAGAGAGAGACAGGCAGAGAAACTGATAGAGACAGAGAGAGAGAGAGAGAGAGAGATCCAGAGAGCCCGCTAGACACGGGACTGGAAGGGCACCGCAGGGAACCTGTGGGAGCTGGGTGCTGAGGAAAGCAGGGCCCCTCAAGTGGCCAGGGGGACAGGGCATGAAACCCTGGACTGCCTAGCCGTGTCCTGCTCCCCATTCTGCAGAGGGAGGCCTGGGTCCAGGAATGGGCTGAGCCGCAGGGGCGGTGTGTGGGAGCCAGGTGGCGGAAGCTGGCGCTGGCCGAGCCCGTGTGGCAGCCGGCCCGTCCTTCCGTCGGGCAGCCCCAGAACAGGCCTCCGCAGCATTCCCTGCACGTGAGGCTGCCGCCTCAGCTTTCCAGAAACTGAGACTTTTTCCTCTCCCTGGCACCTCAGGCCCATCCACTGGGAGCAGCCCTGCAACAAGCGTGGGCAGCAGCACGACACCTACCGGCAGCGTCACCTCGGGGCCTGGTAAGTGCCAGCAGGCTGGCCTGAGCCTGGCCTCAGCCTCTGTCCCGCACAGCAGCGTGTCCCTGGGCCTCGGGGGTGGGCCTAAGGTCCTGCCTGGCCAGGCCGGCCAGGAAAGACAGCGGGCCCAGGACAGGAGGGTGCCCGGGGCCGTTCCCAGTCCTGTGCTGCCGCCCCGGCCCCCAAGAAACCGCAGTCAAGGCAGGACTGAGCAGCAAGACCAGTCCTGGCCCCAACCTGCTCTCGCTTCCAGGGACCACGGAGGCATCTGCCCCCTCCAGCACGGCCGGCCCGGGATCCTCAGCTACCCCCGCCTCCACTTCTGCTGGTACCACCCAAAGAGGTGAGCACCAGGGGAGTGGTCCTCGGGCTACGGACGGCCCGCCCCCCAGGTGGAGGGTGTCAGGAGATGGCAGGTCCTACATGGGCAACACGGTGGGAGGTCGATCCCAAGGAAACCCCCTACCTGGCAATCAAGCGGATATCTAAGGGGGTGCTGGACATCCGTAGTCCTGTTGCCCACGGGCAGACACTGCAGGGGAAGACTGCCCCCTCCAGATCCAAAGGTGGCAACAGGTCCGCCAGCTCTGGCCACCCTCCCAGGGATCCCAGTCCCTGCTTGTGGCTCGTGTAGATTTCAGGTGCCTCAGGGTGATCTCCAATGCACTTGAACCTGCCATGCGTCCTTTAGGAGAGAGACCTTGAGCGCCAGCATGGGGTGCTCCAGCTTCGGAGCTGTGGACTTGTCACTGTCCCGGGGTTCCTCAGTACCTGACGGGACCCACCTGCTTGTGCTGTAGGTGTTAACTCTGCAGAGGGCATTTGTGGACCCCATGGAGAGGGCCAAGGAGGGACACGTTGATTGGGCACCACTGGAAAGTAGTAGCAGAGAAAGGGCACGGACTCCGGGCACAGCAGCTGACGAGAAGTCAGGGAACTGATGCGGGGCTTCAGCCTGGTCCGCCAAGGACAGATCCCAGGCAGGCAGGCGGGCAGGCAGGCAGTGTCCTGTAGCCTCAGTGAGGTGAGCTGGGGCCCTCTTAAGGGTTCCCTCGGGGCCCCCTGGTCCAGGTGGCCCCTAGTGCCTTCCCGAGAGTCGAGTCCGGTGGACATGCAGTCAGGGCTTCTGCGCGCAGCCCAGTCGGCATTCTGGAAGCCGTGTCGGCCGGCTTCTCATGCAAGTGAATGTGTCGGGCCATCCCTAGAGAGCCTGGGAAGCCCAGTCTAGAGGCACGTCCCGGTGCGTCTCTGATCTCGGTGAACTCAGTGCCCGGGGGATGGGGGATCCCTTAGATGCCCCCTGCCCAGAGCGAGGACTCATCCACAATGGCTAGCCAGCACTGAGCCAGGCTGTGTAGCCAGATGTCTCCCCTGGCCACATAGAGGGACAGGGCCAAGGAGCTGTCCACAGCTGGGAAGGGGAGTCAGCGCACAGAGCGCTCAAGAAAGTGTCGCCCTGTGGTGCTTTACCTGAGCCGCTGGAGAGCCTTAGTGAGCAGGGCCCAACCAGGCGAAGTGTCCCCATGGCTCGTTGCTGTTCTCCGCCTGGTGGGCCTCCTTGGGGTGTGGGTTTCCTCGCTGCGTCCTGATCCCCAACCCCCACGCTTGCCCTGCCCCACATCCACATCCACACCCCCACCGGGGCCCAGGAGAGGCCAAGTGCCTGAGATGCCAGCAGTAGCCAGCCATGCGAGGAGGCCCGGCCTAAGGCCCCGGGAGTGCTTGGTCCCGTGTCTGCCGGTGACCCCTGCCCCTGGATCACCACACCAGGCGCCAGGAGGCTCTTGGTGATCCTGCAGACACACCGGGGTGGCACACAGAAGCCTGGGCGGGGGCCTGCCGGTCTGGCTGCCTGGAGACAGGCACTGGTTGGAATGCGGGCTTCTGGATGGAGGGGCCTTGGCTTCGGTGTGGGCCCGGAAGCCTGGGCTTGCCCTACCAGGGCCAGGCAGCGCCCCTGCAGCCCTAGGGAATGAATCCTTATGTCCAGGAATGCCCCAGGTATGGAGGAGGCCGGGAGCCTAGGAAGGCTACATGCTGTGCCCAGATGGGCTGGGAGCTGGTCGAAGTTTGGGGCCAGAGGCCCTCAGGTGGCTGAGGCGCCAGAGGACCCAGAGGCCAGGGCTGGCATAGGGCGGCAGGCGCGTCCGGCCCTCCTTGGCAGCTACCTCACCGGACGTGCCCATTGTTCCCCGTTTCCTCTGCCAGTGACCAGCACCACACCCGGGCGGGAGACGAGCCCACAACTGAGCACGAGCACTGAGCGGCCGTCCTCTATAGGGATCACAGGTGAGAAGGGGCTGTCCCTCCGAGGTCAGTCTCCTGTGCCTGCAGGGAGTCCCGCTCTCCTCAGCCGCCAGCCTGAGCACCGTGTCCCCACGGCACGTTGCTGAGTAACCAGTGGGAAGGGGCAGTGTGAGGCCCATGGGCGTGGTGGCCAGGGCAGCACAGGCAGATCTCAGCTGGGAAGCGGGAACTGTCCTCAGGGTGTGTTCTCTTCCTGCCGGTCTTCCCTTCTCTCATGACCCGCCACCTTGTCCCCCACCAGGATCTAGTGGCCCCAGCATTGGAGACAGCACAGCAACCGCGGGTGCAAGCACCTCTGCGGGCGCAGGTACTACCCAAGGACGGCTGGGAAAATCGCACACGGGTCATTCCCCAGGAGGGAGCGGGGTGCTGGAATCTGAGTCAGATGGGGCCTCTGCTGGGCATTGGGGCTGCTCACAGTGCTTTGAGGGGAGGCACGGAGACCAGGCGGGCAGCAGACCTGCACTGGAGCCAAGATGTGGGTGGTAGAGCACAGAGTGCCGGAGGACCAGCAGACGCTCCAGAAAGGCAATGGTGCGATGACCGTGGATTCCCGTGGGGCTTGGCATGAGACGAGAAGACAGGGGGCAGCACGTTCCCTTAGACAGACAGAGTCACACAGAAACAGAGACAGGAACAGAGGCAAGATGGAGACAGAGATAGAGAGAGAGAGATAGACAGAGGCAGAGAGAGACAGAGAGAGGGACAAGGAGAGAGACAGTCAGTGAGAGAGAGAAGAAGAGACCCCACAAGAAGAACGACAGGAAGGCAGACTAGGGGAACCTGTGGGAGATGGGTTCTAAGGAAAGCAGGCCTGGAGCAATGGCCACAGGGACAGGGGCGGAGACCCTGGACAGCCTGTCCGGGTCAAGCTCCCAGGGAGGGAACACTGGGAGGCCAGGGACCAGGAGCGGGCTCAGCGGCGGGGGCGGTGTGTGGGACCCGGGTGGCAGGAGATCTCCTTTGCCCAGCCCCTGTGGCGGACCGCCTGGCCGTCCTTGCTTCGGGCAGCACCGAGAACAGGGCGCCCTAGCG